ATTTTCAGTTACATTATAGTCAATACCAAGCATTTCATCTGCTAATCGCCTTCTAAAATCAAAATGTGAAAGATTATGTGCTTCTTCATGCTATTTTTTGTAGGTAAGAAAAGCATTAGCCTCTGCAATTCCTAATAAAAAAGAAAATATACGTATTTGCCAATTTGATCCTCGCATTACATCATGGAATGAAGTCATATTATCTCAAATCTAATAATATAATAAAATTATATAATAATACTATATATATATATATATATATATAATATAAAATTAGCATACCTAATTATTAATATCAACAGCTCCTTTTGCTTGTGAATATTCATAAAACACTTTTGGTCTTGTAAATTTAACAATTTCTGAACTAGTATTATTTTTAACTACATGTCTAACTTCATCTGCATTAGCAGTTGTTGATGCTGTTGCAATTATACATTGTGGTTTTCTATCTCTTAAAGAAGCCACCATTAATTGAATATTATTAATAGTTGCAACTTTTGATATATATGATCTGTATGCACTATTAAGTTTATGAACTATATCATCAGGGTAATTAATAGGCCATGCATGCCTTTTTTTAATGTGAAAAATACCATATAATCCATTTTTCATTAATAATATGCAAAGTTTTGGAGAATCAAACCAACTATCACCTATTATTGTTCGTTCACTACCAAACCATGGTTGTGTTAATCATAATACATATCCTGCAGTACTACCATATTCTAAAACATAACGTTTATTTTTTTCTACTACTTTGTCTTCACAAGGTTCTAGTTGAATTACTATATTCGTAAGGCCATCAGCGAGGACTTTCCATTCTTGTCCTACAGGGTGTGGTTTTCGTGGTATTTTGCGTAAACCTGGAATCTTGTTTTTTGTGCCTAACCATGAGTTCATAGACTCATCTATGCATAATACACTTCTGGAAATTGTAGCTTCAATTAAATTGGTGTTAAAGGCATTAATAAAACTACGAACTGAAAATAAGCAATCATTATGATAAGTTATTTCTAATTCATGTGGCATCATTAGTATATGTTGTGACACTATTTGTTCAAAGCATAGCATACTCATCCAACGTTGAAAATTAAATGACATTAATGGTTGAGTATTTTCTTGTGTTCTCCAATAATAGCGACGATCACTTACAGGAACAATGGACATTAATACCCAAAGTCCTAACCATATTTTGTATTCATTGATATTTACATCGATCCAATTTAAATTGTTTTTTCTTCCAAGTAAATTAATAGAACAGACAATATTTTGTTCAATATAATTCATAGGAAGAAATCAACTGAATATAGTAAAAGGAAAAGATAAACTAACTGATGGAAGATTAATTTGACATGGCCGATTGTATGTTAATTGAATTGCCCGTTGGTCAATAGTGATTGGTTGCTCTTTCCATATAGATGTCGTAGTAAGATCCACTTCACTAACATTACTAGCATCACTAGCATAATCTTCTTCGTCCAAACTATTTTCACTAGACTCTAAAAGTTTAGTATGAATTGTTGATTGTTCAGCAACTTCACTACTTAAAGTAACTTGTTTTTCATGGCGCAAATTTCCAGCACGAATATCCACAATCAAAAGCCCATCACCAATACTTTCAAACTTAATTTGAAATTTTTTTTGACGTGATCTAGTTAATGCTCCAACAACTAAACCATAAAGGCGTAAATTTTTTAAATTTTCACTACCTTGTAAGTATTGTGCAATAATATCCTTTGGTAATGCATTTGCTTTGCAACTAACTCGCTCTCTAACAATAATTTTGCTTAAAATTCTTAGCATGGTATGTATATATTTATATGCTAATATTATGCCGTTGATTATTGTAAAATTAATAAGTACAGTAAAAATTAGATATGTAACTAGATATGTAACTAGATATGTAACTAGATATGTAACTAGATATATAACTAGATATGTAACTAGATAGTAACAGATTATATAAAATTTTGGTAAGTATAATCCAAAAGCGAAGTTCAATTATAATATCGCACTATGTATGATTCAAAGTAAAAAAAATATCAAAAATTATTTAATCTTATATGATTTAATCAAAAAAAAAAAGTATTTAAATAAGATACCTTTTCAAGCTTTATAAAATTATTTCATTTAATTCGCATAACATTACAGCTTATTAATTATAACTTTACAGCTCTTTGACCATAGCTAATAGTATATTTAAACACAGCATAACGGAAGTGTCAATGATATATTGCCTGTAAGTATAAAACCTTTTAGTTTAATAGTGTAAAGTATGTTTAAACCAAACTTTTAGTCTGATAGTATAAAGCATACAAATAAAATAAAATCAAATAAATCAAATAAAAAATAAAAAAAAAGTATACATACTTATTTTTTTAAAACCACAATCTTTTTTTAATTCGTAAAAATCATATAAACAGCTTTTAGAATGGCTTAATATGGCAAAAAGAAATTTTATTGATCAAGTTTCACAATCAATTTGTCATACAAGTTTTGATGTGGGTTCATGTAACATATAATAATTTACCATGTGACTTCTACTTATGAAGTATATTCAAATTGTACAAGTAGACTCTGTACGTACTATAGATATGTTATACAAAGTTTCACGTGACATTCTGTCATACTTTTTGATTTATCGCTATTTTAAAACTGTACTAAATTAAGTATTTTGTACTAAATTTAGTACAGCTAACGGATACCCATTAAGTTTAGTAATAGTTCAAATGCAAGAACATATAGCAAAGGTAAGAAAGGATCTTCTTGTTTAACTTCTTATTCTATTCTAAAAGGATTTGAGATGTTTTCTAAGATATAGGCTTCTTGTCAAGTAAATAGGTTCTTTATCAGATCTCTGAATCTTTAGTTAAAGTTCATGTTTTTTAGTACTATTTGCAAAAATTTATAACTTATTTTATTAAAATCTTTTTGTTAGTCTACAAAAAGCATCTAGTATTCTTTAAAAGCATCATTTTGGTTTTTTAAAGTTGTAAGAATGTCTATTGTTTAGTTTGTAATTAATCTTTTTACAATAAAACCTTGTTGATGCTAGAGAACTATTGCTTTGCAAATACTATTCAGCCTAATTGTCATGATTTTTATGAAAATTTTTGTATCACAGTTTACTAAAGATATTGGTTTCCAATTATTAATATTCTGCAGCTCTTCTAATTTCTTTGGTATTAGTATAATTAGATTCTTATACCATGATAAAAGCATTGTTTCTGTGTTTAACATCTAATTAAAAATTATTTCCAGTACTGGTGTAATTAGTTCTTCTGTGAGCTTGTAAAACTCATAAGTAAGACCATTCAGTCCTGAAGACTTATTATCTAGTAATGATCTGATAACTGTTGAGATTTCTTCTTGAGTAATATGGCCTATTAGCTTGTTGTTTATATAGGTTAATACTTGTAGAAGCTCTTTTATAATCTGTTCTGCTATTTCATTATCAATGTTTTCTTTGCTGTAAATTATAGTATATTGTTCCTTAATGTAATTAAGAATTTTCTTATCACTGTGTTATCTTTGAGTTGAAGGTATCTGTATTTTTATTGTTGCTGAATGTGAGCTTCTACTTTTGAAACATAAATAAAAGTACTTGGTAAATTTTCTCCTAATTCTATCCAGTTTGTTTTTGATCAGCATTGCTATCTGTTTGTCAATTCTTCTAATTCTGTTTGAATTTGTGAATTTAATGTATCCAATGTTGAAAAAAAAGTGTCTAATTAGAAGTTCTTGCTAATGTTTCTTTTAATTGACTAACTTTCTTATTTAGTCTTTCTATTTTGTTTTTTGAAGCCTTGGGTTTCTTGAAGGCCTTTATGATTAATTTAATGTAGATTTTATATATATCCCAGTTTTTTGCAAAGGTCACAATTTAATTTCTTCTAGTATTTCTTTCTTTAGCAGGCTGTTTTTAAAAGAGTTGAATCAATTCTCCAGATAGCTGAGTGCTTAAGATCCTGTTTTAAGTTTAAAGTGCATTTAACTAAAAGATGGTCTGAGTTGCCAAATCTTGTTTTTATTTTTGATTTAAAGTGGCTGTAGTTTTCATCTATGAATATATAATCTAACTGAGTAGCAATTATTTGATCGTTGTATGTTTTTTGATAAAAAGTAAAAAAAAAATTTTGTAAAAAGAAAGAGACTGAGTCGATGTAGTTCTTTGTAATTTCTTTTAACAGATGTCTTGAGAGATCATTCTAAGCAGTTGCTTAACCTTTTCTATTTATTTCTGGATTTAAATTTGTATTTAAGTCTCTTGCTATAATGTTGATCATATTTTGTTTTTTGTCTATATTTCATTTATTAAAAAATGCAGCTCTATTTAGAGCATTTGATGGTACATATATGTTAATTATATGAAAAGAGAATTTTTTGAAGATGAAACAGATAGAGATAATTCTGTCTTTATAAGATCTTTTGGTATCCTGGAACTTTATCTTCTTGTTTCCTGTTAGTATTGCTGTTCTGCCTATTCAAATCAAGTCAAAGAATCATTGATTTTTCAAAAATTGCTGTGTTGTAGTATTGAAAATGTTTGTTTTTTGTAAAAAAAAATAATATCTAGTTTGTATGATTTTAATAGTGTTAATGTTCTAAGTTATTTGTCTGAATTATTTAAACCTTTAATCTTTAAAGTGATGATTTTGATTAATATATTGTTTATAAAAAGAATTAATAATTTTTAGAGCTTCCTTGGGCCCTCTGTTTCAGTTCATTATTCTGGTTTTCTTTGTTAGCCATGCTGTAGGATTTTGCATTTTTGTGTTTTCTTCTTTTTTTTACTACTAGTGTAAATGCTGCATTTTTAGTATTTTCTTGATTAAATATATAGTCATCTTTCTGATTTGTGTTCACATTTTCTAGGACTGAATTGGTAAAATAATCATCTACAATAAGCTCATTATCTGCAAGTAGTTTTGCTTCAGCATCTATACTATTCATGACAAGATTCTCTTCTGGTTCAATTGCCTGTTTTTGGTTAAATACTGTCTCTGCAATATCATTCTCTGCTATTTCTTGTATTGTACTATGTTCCTTGTTTGTATCTATTGGATTTTCTGTAATGACCTTCTCTGGTGTCTTGACTAGGTTCTTTTTTTTGTTTTTAAGCTTTTGAAAGTGTTGTCTTAATTTCTTTGCTTTTTAAAATTGCAAACAATTTTTCTTGATATGACCTGTTTGGTCACAAAAGTAGCACACTTTTGGTGCTTCCTTCTACTTAGTAGTGACTCTGTTGTCTTCAATATATGTAAAGTGAGGAAGTCTTTGCTCCAGTTTAAAGTCTTCTGTATTATTAAAAATAACAATTCATTGGTCTGTCATATAGGAAATATCTTCAATAAATAATGATTTAATTAAGGTAATTTTTCCAAAATTTTTAAATACTTCTTTGACCAGTATAGAGACTTGTTTCTTGGTACCCAAGGAGACATTTCTTACTTTAACTGAAAGAAATGACTTGTGTATATCTGTAGAAACATATTTATAATAAGTTTCATTAAAGATTTTGACTTCTTTAGTGACATGATATGTTAGTTAGTCTTGGTTTAAGAAAATGATTTCAAGATGAGTTCTCAAGTTCTTTCTAAAATGCTATTTGGTAGCTATGATGTCTTTTTCTAGTTCTTCATACAAAGAAGTCATAATTTCATTAAGAGAACTATGAAAACTAGAGATTTTGATAATTAGTGCATTGTTGTTTTTGGATCTAACTTGGTTTCTAAATAAAAAAGCAACAAAGATTGATTTTTCTCTTTTCAATTTAGCAGTCAGATTCATATCTTGTTTAGTTACTAAGCCATAGCTTTGAGTAACTTTGCCTACAGACTGGAATTTCATAGTAACATGTGTTTCAGCTATTGTGTTTGGCATATGACTATCTTTGTTGTTGTTTTCATTTTGATCACCTGTTTCATTTCTATATCTAGATGTGTTTTCTAAAGCCCAAGCACTTTTTTTATTTTGTATCATGTTTTTTAATCAGTCTTTCTCATTTTGAACTACTACAACTGATACTAGCTCTTCATTTCTAGCTAGTTCTATCATTTCTTGAGCTGTTAAAGTATAATTAGTATCTGTATTATTCATTTTTTTAATAAGAAAGTCATTTGTATTTTCTTCTCTTTCGAGGTTAAGTTTTTGTATTTTGAAGGTTTTTTCTGTTGGCAGTAGCTCCACTCTTCAAAGAAGCTTTTTTTTCTTGAAACAAGGGCATTAGTCTTTATTAGTATCTTATTTGAAGAGTTTTGGTTTTTTTTTTGTTGAGTTTATAATTGTTGTTTTTTATTTGCTTTTTCTGATCTGGTGTGAACAGAAAAAATTTATTTTAGAATATTTTATTTATATATTTATATCTAATTAATATATTTATATATTACTATTTTTCCTACTTAATATTATAATAATAATAAAACCAAAAAATTTAATTTAGTTTAATAATTATATTTTTAGTAATTTTTTTTTTTTGGTATTAAGATGACCTTTTTGGTCTTTTAACTTTTATTAATGACTTTTTTGATAATGTGATTAATAAATTACTACAAAAGAGCATACAATTGACTACATATATAATTTTTCTGTATTACTTATTTAAAAAGTCTGCTCAAAGGTTCTTCATTAATTGCTATAACTAATACTCTTGTTTAGATGTTCTATTTTAAACCTTCTGAACTTACAATTTGTATTAACATTATTAGGTTATATTTAGATGTCCAAATAATCATCTTAATCATAAAACTATTTTATTCTTAAGATAAACTTTCTGAAGTCTTTTGTATCTATTTTCATAGCTA